CCTTTGTGTAGATGGTGTTTAGGGAGTAGGGGACGAGGCTTGAATCCAGCCAATCAGCGTATTTTAATTGATCAGCTGGTCAATTAAAAAACCGGGAGGGCAGTATGCCAAATAGAGTTTACTTGCATACCTTTGTCTCGGTTGAGGTTGTTGGGATGTTTCAAAATTTCTAGACCTTCACGATGTTTTCTGGCAAAATAACTCTGTGAGGGAGCCAATCTGGTGGCTTTTTCATATTGTACGGAGTGTCCAGTCTCCATCCAGTGTTCAGCTAGGGCTGATTGAGTAAAGTGACCATACTTGGTACATCGCTGGTGTTCTTTGATTCGCGTACTGATCTTCCTCCCGGTTTCTCCTATATAAACTTTACCACAAGAGTAAGAGATCTTGTATACACCTGATGTTTCTAGGTATGATTTCTGATCCTTCGGATTTGGGAGTAAATGGGAAAGCTTCCTATCGGGTTTGAAGATTACTTTGATTTTGTTTACCCAGAATCCTGCTGATAGGTTCTGTTATGCCCTGGAGATATGGAAGGACAGCCGTCTTTCTCTTTTTCCTCTCTTCATCTAGTGTGTCAGTGTTTTTAGGACTGACACTTCTGTTCTTCTGGTTTTTTATTATTTGCGAGATGTTTTTGCTGTTGTATCCATTTTTAGTTAAGGCTGTACTGAGGTGTTCTAGTTCTCCATTCAGAGAAGATGGTTCCGAAATTGTGAGCGCTCTGTAAACCAATGAACTTATGACAGAATTCTTTTGCGAGGGATGATGATGAGAGGTTGCATGTAGATATCGGTCCGTGTGTGTTGGTTTTCGGTAGACCTGGTGACCTAAGGTGCCATCTTGGTTCTTTTGGACTAGCACATCCAGGAAGGGTATTTGATTATTTTGTTCCACTTCCATTGTGAACTGAATACTGGGATGTTGTGAATTGAGAAACCCGAGAAACTGAGAAAGAGTTTCCCTGCCATGATTCCAAATTACGAAAGTATCGTCCACATACCGAAACCATGTGGATGGTTTCAGTGGTGCGTTCCTCAAAACTTTATTCTCAAAGTGTTCCATAAAGATGTTTGCAATGATAGGAGATATAGGAGATCCCATCGCCGCTCCAGAGGTTTGTTCGAAAAACTCTCCTTGGAACTGAAAATAGGTTGAAGTTAAGCAGTGTTCTATTAGTGGGAAGAGGTTGGCAGGAATTTCCTCGGAATTCTTGATGATGTTCAAAGTATCCTGGACTGGAACATTGGTAAACAGTGAGACTACATCAAAACTCACCAGGATATCATTAGTATTCATCTTGATTTTTGTGATCTTATTCACGAAATCTGTTGAATTCTTGATATGGGAATCATTGAGACCAGTAAGTTTCTGGAGGGGTTTGGTGAGATAGCGGGCTAACTGGTAGGTAGGTCCCCCAATATTGCTGACAATGGGGCGTAAGGGCACTGATTCCTTGTGGATTTTTGGAAGACCGTAGAGTCTAGGTGCTGAAGAATCTTGAGGGGTTAAATACTTGATAGTTTGAAGAGGGAGACCTGCATTTTTCAAAAGAGAAGATGTTTTCTTCTCTATGCTGGATGTTGGGTTGCGTTTGAGTTTCCTGTCGACTTTTTGGTCTGAGAGTTAACTATTGATTTTACTGCAGTAGTCTTCCCTGTTCATAACTACAGTAGCGTTCCCTTTGTCTGCTGGTAAAATTAGGATCTTGTTGTTTTATTTCAGACTGTGGAGAGCTCGGCGTGATCTTCTTATTTATTCTTTTTGTTTATATTTTGTTTGGGAAGTTTGGCTTTGCGTAGAATGTTGGTTGTTCGATTTCTGATGTCATTGCTTGCCTCTAAAGGAAGGTGGAAAATAGCCGTTTCAATTTGGCTGGTGATTTCTTCCGTAAGGATACTAGAGGGAGTGACAGCAAAATTGTGTCCCTTAGCTAGAACAGCGACTTCGGATGGTGATAGATCTTGATCGCTAAGATTCTTCACTGTATGTGTGAGAACTGGCATTTGAGTCTGTGGATTGATCTTATCATACTTGCTTTTCTGTTTTTGTGTTCTTGCCTCAGCTGAGTGAACAGCTTGTTCGTGAGTAACCCGATCCAGCCACAGCTCAGGCTCCAACGATTTTGCAAGAGAAAGATGTAATTTTAATAGTTTTTGGGATATCTCAGCCAAGTTCTTCTTGGTGGCTGAGATTCTGTCTTTGACTAACCTCAACCACGCTTGTTGTAGAATGCCTTTGGCCTGGTTAGAAGATGGAAATGGATTTTTTTAATTGAAAGCATTTCGGTACTACATGATGGTCGAGGCACAGTTTCAGAAATGCTAGGGAGCACAGTTGGACATGCAAGGATTTCCTGAGTTTGGAAAATAAATTTATCGGCCCTAGGATAGCCTCTCCGTGCAGGCTTCTAATACTAGATTTGAGGCTTTCACGGCCATTGATACAATGTCTAGATATAGCTTCCGGAATGGAGCCGTGTCTTGAATCAGCGATGTGCCGACGTTT